TGGGAATATATCTTCTATGCATTGCCTAAATTGATATATCACATTACAAACATATTAAATTATATATTTGATCATATATGTTCCTAGCATGTATAAAAAACTAAATAAAATTAAAATCATAGTTTTTCTTTCTACAATTAAATAATTTTGTAAATCCAGCTCATTGCGCATACTTTAAGAAGTTCAATGATCTCATAAGGATCAAAATTGTCTATATTTATAAATATTAAAAATAATAATAAAAGCAATGTTAGTTGTGCAAGTCAATCAAGTTATTTCAAATTGAGCCTTAAAGTATTTTTAAGAATGATTTAAATGTGGATGTTTATATGATTTGGAAACTTGGAAAGTTAAATAACAATTTTTAACTATACTGTCACAAAACAAGAATTGGCGAAATTTTATTCTTTGTATTTGTCAGATTAGTAATTCCTGTTCAAGAAAAAATAGTTAATGTTGTTAGACGACATTAATGCACATTGATCAAATCATTAAAATTATTTCATATAAATTATAATAGCATTTGGTCAAATAGTTGACATTAAGCAGAAAAAAATCAGTTGATTGATTGATTAATATATAGACAGACAGATAAAAAACTTCTTTATTAAATTATTATTAGAAAATGAATCAAATCAAGGAATTAATAACTAATAGTAGTTCAATATTTTTATGATCTTCGCCTAAAAAAAAAAGATTAAAGAAATTAAATAAATTATTATAAAAAAATTTTTTAAATGTAAAAAAAAAAAAACATTCAGAATATATAAAGAAAATGCTTTCAGCATAATATCAATTGTTATTAATACTCTCAGAATTAGCATGGTTATTGTAACATCATAATGTTATAAGTCAATTTATTAAATATATTGATATATACACACCTTTTTTAAAAATTATATAACCCTACATTATTATATATATATATACACAAGATTAAAAAGTAAGTAAATGATTAAAACTTGATTAAAATTTGCATAAATAATACAACAATAAATACAATCATTATTTATTCTATCCTCATGAATTCAGAATTTGATAGTACTAATTAATTAATCATTTTGCTAAAATTTTTTTTTTTAAAAAATTTCTAATTTGAAAAAATAGCAAATAAAGAACAAATATTTATTTACCTTTAATTAAGGAGATGACGTTAATTCTAAACGATATTATAGGAAATATATAAATGTTAGAAATATATTTTAATTAGTAAAAAAATACAAAAAGAAAAACAATTTATTAAAATATATATTTTCAGAAATTAGTGTTTGTTTGGCTTTTCACTATGTTTTTGTCTTATCCACACAATTTTAATTCGGACTGGGGCGACAATTTAATCATCATTTGTTATTTCATAAACTGAAAAAAAAAAATATATAATAGTTACCTTTGACTTTTTTTTTTAAAAAAAAGAAAAATTTTTTAATCTGAATCTTGTATTACCTATTACTATTTATATTACTCAATGATGTCACCATAATTTTAAGTATTCGATTACCTGATTCATTTACCTACCCAAGACGTTCGTTTTTCTACAATATTCAAAATCTTCAACAACATGCCGTTTCTTATTGGGATGGATATACATTTTGAGAAAGGAATAGGGAATTTTTCAGTAACTCCAATTCGAATTGCTCAATTTTATTTTTATTATTATTTTATTAGCTGGTGTTTTTTTCTTATCCACGAAATTAATTTTGAGGATGAATGAAGTTTCACATCTTTGATGCTTTTCTTTTTTCTACAGTACTTTAGAAACTTCTTACTAGGAGATGATTTTCTATTGCTGTGTTGGTTAATTTCGTTGATTTCGTTACCACAAAGCTGCCCTGAAATGTATTGCGTCAGGTACATTTTGCAAAACATAAGAAGCATTGACTATCAAATATTTCTTTTCTTTTGGGCTAACATAATATAGCAACATCTCAAGTTATGCAAATAGAAAACTCTAACAATAATTCTAACGTACATATACAACCCACAAAAATTATGGGAGGGTTCATAACGCATGATGCATTGGTGCCCTAGTCATCTTCATTGTAAACATCCTAAAAGTTCAGAATTTGGGTATAGTTACATTGTCATGTACAGAATAAAAATAATTTATCCCCCACCTCCCCACAGTATTTTGGTCGTTTCTTATCAACAATATTTTAATTAACTCTGGTCAGTGTTGTGACCCGAAACTCTGAGTTTAGGGAAAACCAGAAACAGAAACTAACAGAAACCACCCGAAACTAGTTTAGGTTAGTAGTTTATGTTTATGTTCAGGTTTAGGTTTAGATTTCTGCTTAGTGTAAGTTCATTTTTCGAAACGTTTCGGGAAGCCAAAAGAGTTTCTGGCCACAACACTGAATCTGGTCTATTCTATTTTGCTGTTGAAGAATATAGGAAGTTGGGATGATACTAATGTTGTTTGACGAAATGTTACCAAAGTTGTAAGACTATTAGCAAGTAAAATTGCTTTAAAGGATGATAAAATATAAAGCTCACAAAAAAACTTATGAATATATATTCCAAGGTCTTTTTTTACATATATATATTTCTTGTGTGTCCCAATCTCTCCTTTGTTTCATCAGTTGTTTCCAAGAAGCCAAGTTTGTCTTTTGCCGATAAAAAATTCAGTTCCCACACACTCATTTACTACTAAACTCGGACGTTTCTTAATAACGTGATACATGACCGGGCAGATAAGATCATAGATTAGGAATTCGGTACTTAATGGTCAACTAATTTAAAAGCTTTCTATAATTAACTGTATAAATAATTATGGAAGTTTTTATAATATCAATATTGATTGTTAAATTACTTTACAATAATAAACCTATCTTTGTTTTTATCTTTATTTATTAAGGATAACTTCCGGTCTTCGCTTGAAAAAGCATAACTTTGAGTCCTCGCAGAGGGAACTAATAGACAATTAACATCTAATAAAATAAAACTCTGTGATAGAAAATAAAAAAATTGTCTTTATTTTCTTTGTTTAAATCGCTTTGATAAAAGCAACAAGTGTAGCTAATGCCTCGGTAAAGGTAACAATTGTGAGGCTTTGGTAAAAAGCCACGTTTTTTTGCTTTAGTGAGCAAGCAAGCAAGGTTAGGATTAACGTTGGTTAACTTGTGAGTATTAATAACGATTAATAACGTAATTTGCTTTAGTGAGTAAGCAAAGGTTTGGATTAACTAGTATGTGTTGATGAAGTATCGTCTAAAGGTTAATCGGAAATATTGATAGTATTATTGTAATCGGAAATGTAAGGCTGTTAAACAAGCTACTTAAGTTGTTTGCAATCGGCCAATAAATGTAAACAAGGGTAAACGACTGAAATAAATCGAACGCAATTGAATAAAAGAAACTTTATAGAAGCCCTTGAGCTTGTAAAAGGCCATCTTTATTTATTTACAGTTATCTGGTACCACTAAGTGTGCTCACAAATTTGTCTAGGTACAAGAAAGAGAGAATCAAAGTAAACTCGTAAACTAATTAATTGACAAGCGCCAAATTAACTGATAGGAGTAGCCCAAAAGTTAAGCCATAATTGTTAATTAACCGAAATGGTACCTTGCAATATCACCATTTAATCAGAATCAAAAAACTGTAAAAAGTTCATTGTTATAATTTAGCTTTGAGAAACAAAATAAGGATAAGATAAAAAGATAAATAAAAAGATAATAAATATTAAAATTAGTTATTCATCAATTCTTTCTTTTACTATTGTTACCAGAATTAATTAATTAATAATGGAATTTTATTCACTTTTGTTAAGATTCCGGAGAAAAGAGTTAAAATCAAGATTATTTAACGAACTGTTATTACTTGTATAACTTTAAAGCTTTTAGATTTAGCAATCTCTTCATCTAATATTCTACATGTATGATATG